AGAGGAGCAAGGTGCCAGATGTTGCTGTTGGCAGCTGAGATGCCCGGAGATACATGCTGGTGCACGTCTGCTTATACAGGCTGTGTTATTCCCAAGTCGCTTACAAAGGAGCTTCAGTGTGACATGCAAGTAATGATCTCTAGAGAGTGGTCAGAGCTCAGATGCTGGCTCAGGCCTGATTCAAGGAAGCAGTGAAAAGAAGCTCAAAGAAGGAACAGAAGAAACTGATAGGACAGAAAAATTAAAAGAAAGCAGTGAGAAGAGGGAGAAGAAGAGGATGAAGAGAAAGAAGTAGGGAAAGTACAAGCAAGGAGCCTCCAGGAGCCTCTTACCTTACCAAACATCCTGAACCCTGGCATCTGACCTCCCACCATGACTTTTCTTCCTCTACTCAAGTTCATCTACACTGGTTTTAGTGACATGAACATACGAAGCAAACTCTTGCTTCACTACATTGTGTTACCTGTTTTTTCTCCCCAGAATTTTTTCTCCCCCAATCTGCCCCATATCTATATGGTTTCCTCCCCACTTCCCGTAGATCTCCGCTCCAGTACCTTTAAAGCCTTTTTATACTTGGTTTTTAGTTACGTGTATGTCTCTAGTTGTGTGGCTGTGTGCATGTGAGTGGGGTTGCCCATGGAGGTAAGAAGAGGGTGTTGGGTCCCCTGGAGCAGGAGGTATAGGCAGTTGTGAGTAAACTTTCATGGGTACTTAGAACTGAACTCAGTCTTGGCAAAAGCAGTACATTCTTAGCCGTCTCTTGATAAAACTAATATGTCTCGTCATGCTCTGTGTTCTCATTCTGTTTATAGCATTCACAGTCATGTGCTGTAGCATGATCATATTTCTACATTTGTTTACGATCTGTGTCTTCTCCCTTCTGGGAATGGAATTACAGGAAACACAGATTACAGCTATTTTATTCATTGCTATATCGTTATCATTTAAAACTAGGTGTAGCATGTAATAATTGACCAAAACATTGACAGTAACTGAATGAATAAATGAATTAATAGTCATATTTTAAATAGGGAACTGAACTCAGATAGATTTAGTACTTTCATGGGTTAATTTGAAGTTCATCCTTTGCCTAAGTATACCATGTATATTTTTAGGGAGACATTTTGCCATGTATATTTTTTATTTGTGTGTGTGTGTGTGTGTGTGTGTGTGTGTGTGTGTGTGTGTGATATGCACAAACACAGGTGTGTGGGTGTCCATGAAGACAAGGAGGGGACATCAGAGTCCCTAGAACTGGAGCTACAGGTAGCTGTGAGCCACCCAATGTGGGTGCTGGGCACTGGACCCAGGTCCTCTGCAAGAGCAGCCAGTGAGCGCTCTTAACCACTGAACCATCTCTTCAGCCCCCTACATGTACATTTTTGCATCCGTGGTTTCTTGTCCCTCTGTCTGGATCATTATTATTACATTATCTTACATTGTCCTAACTTCATCTAACAGTCTCATTCTATAATGATTGTTGTGCTTGATGGTTTATAGACTGGAAGGAAGTTAATCTAATCAGTTAGTAGAAATAATAGTTTAATTGGATTGTCTGGCAAATGTGGACAGAAGTAGGTTGGAAAAACTTGCAACTTTTTTTAAGTAGTAGTAAAATGAGTAAAAAGAAAAGAAGTAAAGTCTTGAAGATCTCAGAAATAAACATTTACGCAGCTCTGTAGAGAGAGTGTACTATCTGAAACCCATACACAGCCTTGTAGTAGAAGTGCTGGGACACTAATTTACTGCAATGAAATTCCATTTCCATTATTTTTCTAAACATGTTTAATTTAACTAAGTATATCTAATATAATGGAGACATTAAGTTAAGAAAAAAATAAAGATGATAGTTCTACATCAACAGCTTGTGTCAGGGATGTTAGTTGCAGCATAAGTCAACATATAAAAATCTAGACTTTTCTGAATGACAAGACCTTTCAGGCTAGATGAGACAAAATGAAGGGAGTTCTCTTGTGAAGAAATTTATATGGCATTTCAAGGTCTGAACTGAGGAATATACTCATGAAACGTGATCCTTGCTGTAGATCAGATGCATCCCACTTCATGAGCTAAAATCACAGACCAAAAATGCAACCAAACCACCTTGATGCTAAAAAGAAAGTGCACATCCATTTTTTTCCTCTCTTTTCTCTGGATATATCTCTCATTTTTTCTCTCTCTCTCTCTCTCTCTCTCTCTCTCTCTCTCTCTCATTCACTCGCTCATGTTCATGATATGCTTGGGCCATTTTGGAGAGAATTTCAAGTAAACTTACATCATTACACATCTAATTTGTCTGTGAGGACTCCTGTTTAAAAATTCAATTCCTATGTGATAGGAATACCTGTAAGAGTGCTCTTTACATTGGAATAGACCACATCATGTCAGAGACACCTGCATGTTCCAAGAATCACAGCTTCAAAGTCATGACACAGTTCTGGAAACAGCAAAGCAATCTCACTACAGGGACTCCGATTACACATACAGAAAGCTAAACCATTGAGAGGAAAATTGAAATCTGCCTTTTAATAAAATTAATGTGGATTCATTTATATCACACAGCATATTTATCATAAGGCATTTTGAAAGACAAATAATAAAAATCCACATAAATAATGTCAGTATACAGAAACAAGATATTCCCCCAGGGAATTCTATTGTATCTACTGGTATAGGCCAGTGAACATACTGCCTCCAAGTATTGATAGAACATTTTCTTCTGGGGCTGGAGGGATGACTCAGTGGTTAAGAGTAGGTATTGTTCTTCCAAAGGATTCACAGAACCCAAATTAGGCAGTTCACAGCCACTTGTAACTACAGCCCCAGAGAATCTGATGTCTTCTTCTGGCCTCTGAAGGCACCTGCACTCGTGTGCACTTTCTCTCTCACTCACTCTCTCTCTCTCTCTCTCTCTCTCTCTCTCTCTCTCTCACACACACACACACGCACACACACAAATAAAAATAAAATATCTTTAAAAAATTTCATACAACAGTGGTTATATTTCTCTCAGGAGACAATTGTAGACAAGGGAGGTTACAGGTTTTTCTGCCAAAGTTCAGCATTTTGGGGGCAGTTCTGGCCCCAAACTAGATGCTTGTGCCTGGTGAATTGTTGGGGAAAAAAAACAACGCATTTCCTGGCACTGTCAGCATGTTCATCCTGCCTGGCTCTTGAGCACAGGGAAGGTTTGAGTCACTGAAGGGTGTGTCCCTCACTCTCATGTGGAAGCTTGAAAGGAAGTTGAAAAGAGGGAGCCACAAGTAGAGGCAGAACACCAACCCCTCCTGCCTTGAGGATTTACAGAGAACCAGCCCAGCCAATAATCAGAACAAATCACCAAGGGAAACAGCTTACCTCTTGGATTCATATTCCAACGGCTGTTTTGAAGAGTAGGTAAGACTCCTAGTGCACTCACACAATGTTGCAGAAATATGACCTTTGATTTTTCTATTAGTAAATTTATGTATCAAGTGATAACACATAAATATCAGTCATTTAAGATTTTATCTTCAACTTTTTTGAGGTTGTAAGTTTTAGCTACTCTGATGGGGTGACGGAGTGCCCAGGGAAAGAGACAACCAATGATTGGTCCTTGACTTACATGGTGGGCATGGAAGCAGTTCTGCTCTGGTCAGGTAACTTGGGCTTTGGGACCTGAGGTCTCTATGCCAACTCCATGGTCGGGAGTTCGAGGCCAGCCTGGTCTCTATAGCGAATCCAGGGGCTACAGAGAGACCCTGTCTCAAAAAGACCCCCCCCCCAAAAAAAAGCAAAAAGTCAGACATAGGACTTATGGCAAATTGATGGAAGACAGAGCCCTGAAAGCTTACATGGGACATCATTTAAGTTTTTCATCCACGCAGCCTACCCTAATTCTGAATAACAAGGAGCTAAAAATGAGTTATTTAAGCCGACACCGGCTTTTTTAAAAAGGAAAAGTGAAACTACTTATGTTTGGATGGGAAATGAGCACAAAGTGTAAAGCAGTCACAAGTACGTACGTGCAAAGGGTCTGCTCCATCTCTCCTTCTGCACCATCAGCATAAGCATTTTCCTAAAAAGAATCTGAACGTTTCTTTGCTCCTGCTGTTCAACTGCATCGTTTACTGACTACGCACCTAATACTATTTTTCACTGTGAACCCGCAAAGTTTTATGGGCTTTAACTATATTAACCAGTTTGATCTTCCCAACCCCATGAGGCTGGTGTTCTATTGACATTAATGAAGAGAAAGTAAAGACGGTGTGTCATATCAGCTCGGAATGGGCAGAGCCAAGATTCATGACCACCCATGCTGCCGCTAGGATCTCTGCTCCCCACTGTTATGAACCAATATTTAACCAAACCAATAACCTGGAAACTGAATCTATCCCATATTTTGCTACCACAAACAAAAATCCAGTGAACATTCTGGAAGCCTCATACAAAAATAATGGCTCTAATAAGAGTTCTTTTATAATTGTTTCAAATTACATTAAGATTTGTCTTTTGACATGTTTTAATGGACTGCTTTGCCTTTGTGAGGACGCACACTCACCAGTAGGGGTGGAGTTGCTGACTATCAGGTTCATATCATCTTATTTGTGTAGATTTCCCTGTGATTAACGCTCAGACATTATCTGTCTTCCAAGTGGCAGAATCAAGACTGAAATATGGGCTGCTTTGAGTTCCTGGTCATTAAACTCACAAGGTTTTCCCTGGTTACGCTGACCCTTTTCTTCAAACTTCCTATCAATATATCATCACTTTGCAGTTAAAACCACCTTGTGACTTTTTCATGTTCAATTAAAACCCAATATAAATAGACACATTGATGGTACTCATTTGGAAAGCTGCCCCTCAGAAGAGTAACCTCTCCCCAATATTTATTGATGATACTGACCCTTCCTCCAGAATATTCTTCACTAATACAGTGAAGGGTCTATAGAACTTTTGAGAACCTTCAACTCTTTGATCTCTATATACACCAAAGGCAAGAAATCAAGTTAGCATCATTTTATTACATTCTTTAGAACTATTATTTTACACATTCAATGTTTGATTATTTTAATCTCCCAAATTTCAAAAGCAAAGTAATTTGTTTTAATTAAAGCTGTTTAAAACATTGACAAACACACCTCGACTACACTTTAGACAGTTAACTATTTCCTTATAAATGTAAGAAAAAACAGTCTGTACATTTACATTAAAAAAAATCCAGGGAAGGAAATGAAAGCTTTAAAAAAATGATATTTTTTCTTGGGTACTGAAATAGCACAAACTTCACCCTATATGTACGAGGAAAGAATAATATTACACGTTAACATTAGAATGCTTTGAGGGGGAAAATGGCACTAAAGTCAAAGTCTGAAAAAACATAGCTCTCAGGATCAAATGAAAGAATCAAAAGGTAAAATCAGATCAGAGTTTTAGATACACATTCAAGCACAGACCTTCTTAGCACCCAGAGGACTGCAGAAGCCATCAGAGCTGCCCTGTGAAGGCTGTTTGTCCTGCACAGCAGCTCTGGCCCATCCAAAATGCTTATACTCATCATATGTAGCCCAAACTCTTCACATAGCCCAGGAGAACCTTGAACTTGACCCTCCTGCCTCCACCTCCCAAGTGCTAGGATTTCAGGTGTGCACCTCTAAGTTTGGTGTGTGGGGTGCTAGGGATCAACACCAGGGCATCATGCATTCAAGACAAGCACTGTTCCAACAGTTGCATACCCAGGGCCAGCCCTCCTCCTTGATTCTATACTCTAGGAAGCCTTAAGAAAGTCTTGGCTGATACTTTGCCAAAATCAAAGGGCACTGTGTTGGTTTAAAAGCAGGAGGGAAGGGCAGGACAAGGCCTTGGAAAGTGTTGCCTTTCCTACTGTTCACAGCCCTGCTGGTTCACTCCTTACCCTGGAGGACCTGAATGTGCTTGTTACTCTCTGGACACCCAAACACTCCATTGCCTTGTTCTCTCCTAAAATGACAAGTTGATAAAAAAAAAAAACTAACTCACGCTGACTGAAGGATGCCTGAGTTTCTAGAGGATTTACCACCTACTTAAATCTGCTAGAGGTCTTACAAACAATATTGGCAAACAGAGGAAAGAAGGAATCAATGAAGGCTGGCTTTTCTAGAACCGTGCCCAAGCTACTTTAAAGAAACATAACAGAATGCATGAAAACCAGTGTGGGGGGGGGTGCAAGTAGGGGAGGGGCATTTAAATATGATAAGGTATGTTGTATGAAGTTGACAAAAAAAATCAATAAAGAATAAAAATAGGGCAGTGATTAGGTAATAGAAATACTGTAACTCCCATCGTGTGGCTTTGAGTGTAAGGACGCCACTTGTCCCTGTCAGTACGACTTCCCTCCCAGCACCACACAGCCTCTGAACTGCAAGAACAGGATCAATCACAGCTAAATTTACAAAACGATGCTTAGATAGGAGAGAAAAACGAAGTGCCAACAGAAGTTGGCATACACCTGTGTTCTAGGACTCTGGAGGCTGAGACAGGAGGATCATAGATCAGACGCTTGGGATTTGTAGTGGGATGGGCCTCTCTCTCAAAAAAAAAAAAAATAGATAGGAAAAAGAAAGAGGAATGGGGAGGAGAAAAAGGAAAAAGAGGAAAGAAAACAGAAAAAGGAAAGGATGACAGAAGATGTAATTGCAGCAGAGACAAAACTGAAAACTAGTTTAGCACCAAATCCCAGGGAAAACACCTCATTTCTGTAAAGTTGCCAAAAAGCAGGGCGCCCAGCTGTGGGCCAAATCCCCTAGTTTGCTTCTAATCTATGGACACACAAAGTTTTAGGTGGACTGCAAACTGGATCTACCTTCAACTTGGTTCCCTCTTTCCTTTCCACTAAAGCCAGAAAGTATGTTTCCATATTTAAACAAATTACACAAGTGGACAGGAATCATTTTCTGACACATCAGGCCTCACACAGTCCACAGAATCTGGGCAGGAAGAGCTCTGCACTGATATGTAGTGTTAAACACATGCACACACGTTTCAAACTGTGCTGCTAGAAAATTGCGCTCGGTAGGCTACCTGCCAAATTTTGTTTCCTGAGTCAAATAAAGTTTTTATTTGATATTGAAGTTGGAGGGAGAGCTAGAGGGAGGGCTAGTCCGAAATTTTCAGACCTGAAAAACTGTTAATTTAGTAATAATTATTTCTGCCCTAAAGATCTCTTCAAATAGTGTTAGCTTTTTGTCTATTTTTAATCTATTGCTTGAAGTATGTATATACTAATAAAAATGAGATATTGAGATGGCTTGGCTATTTTTTACTAATATTTACCCAACACATTTAATGGGAAATATCTAGAGGAGAGCAGGCCTTGCAGACCTTAGTTAATTCCAATGCCACAGCAAGACATCTGCTATTTTAACAGTTTGTGCTTTTTGGAAAGTAGTAAACAACAAGTTGCTCTAAAAATACAAATTAGTTGAAGGTAGACTTTAAAATGTAGAAAAACCCATTATATATACATACACTCCTCAACTTGGGATGAGGTTGTATCCCAGTAACATTATTGTAAGTGAAAATATCATTATACTGAAAATTCATTTAATATGCTTGGATCCCAGAACATCATAGCTTAGCAACAGAACACACTTCAGAACACATCAGTTGCCCCCCCACTTCCCCCCCATCCCAGATCTTGTGGCCTAGTAGCTCGCTGCCCCTGCTCAGCATTGCAAGTCACATACAGCACATCTCAAACCCAGGAAAAGATCAAAATTCAGAATTTCAAGTACAGTTTCTCCTGAACATGTGTCAATTTCAAACTGTACTAAAGTCAAAATATCACAAGTCAAATCATCATAAGTCAAGGTCGTCTACATGTAATTAGTAGCTATATTTTACAGTATCATTTTCTAAACTTCTAGAATGTCTGGCCAGGTCACATCTAATGGTAACTGGTGACATTATCTCTTTGTGCATGTTTCTGCTAATGTAAGAAATTTGGGTTCCAGGTTGTTTAGGAAGTCGAGCCCCTCTTCCTCCTGCTTTTCACTGCAGCAGCCTACAGACCCAGCTGGCGACCCTCTGCCTTCGTAGTTGTAGGTAAGGACATAGTCTTGAGATGGAATGTGTTCTTCGTTCTGATTACATGCATGCAACTTCTGTGAAATCAAAGAAAGAGGCTTGTATTATTGCTTTTAAACAACCTCAATGTATGAACAGAAAATTTATTTATTTACCTTTTAGGTTTAATTTTTAACCAGTGTGTCCTCTAATGGATTCCTACACACAAAAAATGCACATGATTGGTCTACATTACAGCCATACCATAAGTCAGTATATATTACATTTCTAACAATCCATAAAATAAAAAATTACGTATACAAGTGTTATATTTCAATATATTTAAGTTACTATAAAACAGTTATCCCTAAATGTTATGTCTAGAGTTCAGATCAGTTCCCAAATGGAGACATGGAAACAATATATACAGTGGTTGGAATTTGTGCATTGATGTCAAACAGTCCTGGTTATTTTTTATTTATTTTTATTTGTGTGTGTGTGTGTGTGTGTGTGTGTGTGTGTGTGTGTGTGTACACATGTGCCTACAGAGGCCAGAAAAGGGAACTGGATCCCCTGGAGCTGGAACCTGACATGGGTGCTTGGACCTGAACTAAGTTTCTCTGGAAGAGCTGTAAGTGATCTTAACCACAGAGCCATCTCTCCAGCCCCAAATGGTCCTGGTTTGAGTAAACCTTTGGTTTTACTAACTACTATGTTACTTTGAATCACATCCTCCTCACAGTTTAATGGGAGTTCATACAGTAACTATCTCACAGTGTTAGTTTGGAAATTAATAATGGAATCCAATGAAATGCACACTTCTCATATCTGTCACACAGTAAGTGCACAGTAAATGTTAACTAAAACTACATCATACAGAGATGAAGAAGTATCAGAATGAAAATTCTACAGTACCTTAAAATTGGAGATGCACCCCAAAAATGTCACTGAAATTAAATCATCAGCATAACTCATTGCAAAAATTGTGGTTTTGAACTAAAGAGGAAAAGCCTTTGACCACCTCTGCTTCATTGCTGTGTCCCACTGGTCTGTGTTCAAACTCGTTAAATCCAGCTCATATGTCCCTTCCTTTTGCTAAGCCCTTTCTAACCAACAGCTCCTTACACTGACTGTTAAAAAGTATTCTTCTTCAAGATCTTGTTAGCCTCACATCAGATATGACAGATTATCAGACATGACACTGAAGGATGCTAAGTGGGTGTCTTGAGCTCTGTTCTTTCCCACCCTAATCATACATGAATGTTAACTGTCTTCACACATGAAAAGTGTAAACACTTGAATTTGACAAAAAGAACTGTTCATTGTTACAGGCATGTGATAACTGATAACCTTCTTCCAGAATATTGCGCACATTCTAGTCATCAAAGAACCAAGGGTTTCTGTTCCAGTGCTTGCTATGAAAGGACTGGTGTCCTCTAATATGTGATGGAATCAGTGTCAGCAAGAACATTCAACCAGGACCTCTCTATCCTACCCACACATAAAGTCACCTGTGAAATTCTGTTCACAGAAGCCAAATCACTTGAATTAGACTCTTCCAGAAGGAAGCAAAAGCATTTGTATTTTTTAAAGCTTTCCACTGGTTTTGATGTAAACTGAGACTCACTTAATCCTTTGAAGGTGCTGCTTCTCTCTAGATAAGAACACTTTGTATTTGCATAGTGTGCTATAGTTGAATGCTGACTATAGCCAATAATAACAAATTGTATCTTGAAATTACTAAGAATAAATTTCAAATGTCCTTACCACAAAATGCACACTAGGTGATTTAACCATCCTACACGGTATACTTACAAGATCATTCACCACACCCTATGAATAGATACAGTTATCACTAGTTCACTTAGAATAAAATAGCAAAACAAATCAACAGACAAAAATAGCAAATAGAACATGTTAATCTTTAGCCTAAAATTGCATTCAGATGTTTAGGCTTTGATAGCAAAATACAGATTTGATTTGGAAAATTTGTAATTATGAGAAACTAGAAATTTTCACATTCTTCTTTATCAAATGAGTTCAAAAGATAGATGCACACCTGAGATTCAACTTTAGTGGGAGACTTTACAAACCTTAGATTCTTAAGAGATTTTAGAAACTAAGTGAATGTGACAGAAGGATCAAAATTTTTAAAAAGTAAATATTATAACAAAGTCAAAGAGTGTTTAAAAATGAGCAGAGCAAACAACAAAGGCACACAGAACAGTACAGAAGAGTAGTTTCTGGAAATACACGTTAATTTCAATTTCCTAAGGAGACCCACTGCAGCGTTAAAACACCTATGGAAACTCACTTCGCCGAGTCGGGGCTGAGTGAAACTGTACCACTCCGAGTAGGTGTGTCTGCAGTTGTCAGTCTCCATATGCCCTCCCCTGCAGGAGTCTAGGGTGTGGTGATGCCCTGCCACCCGGCAGGAGTCCAAGGTCTGGTGTCCTTTCATCATCTCCATGGTCTCCTGCCCTCCGTTTCTCATTCCAGATCCCATTGTGCCACAGAAGCCTTGGCTGGAATTGTTGGCAGTCTGGGTCGTGAATCCATTGGCAGAACACTACATTATAACAAAATAGAATGGCAATGATATTGAGCAGAAATGACTTCTATGTAAAGTCAGAAGTCAAGAAAAACACTCCTTCCTTCCTTCCTTCCTTCCTTCCTTCCTTCCTTCCTTCTCCCTCCCTCCCTCCCTCCTTCCCTCCATCCTTCCCTCATTCCTGCCTTCCTTCCTCTGACATTTCAAGGCCCAGATGCAAAGCCTTAGGGATGCAAAGATAGACACAGCCCTCAGTGACTCAGAAGATTTTTTACTAATAAGACAGAAAAACAAAATTATTCTTAAAATGTCATTAAGCACAGAGCCTTAAAAATCAGACCTAGAAGCTGAATACACTGCATAGAGCTGGGGGTGGATACGTGGAACCACAATACCTAATTGGCATCAGGAGTCAGAGGGACGTGAGGTACAGAACAGTTTTCAACTTCAGTGAGTTCAGAATGACTAGCACAGAGGGAGACAGGGAGAAAAAGAAACAGGAGAGAGAGCGCGATCTTAAAATGAAGCTGGAAAGGTTGTATAAGGTCAGAGAGTGAATATGAAAGGTAAAGCTGGAGATATGCCTTTAAAAGTCTAAGCTTTGTCATGAATATTACAGGAAACTGCTGAAATATTTTAATTCACTGCAGAGAGCAATGCATTTTTAAAAATAACATTTTTGGCAATAATGTGGAATAAAATAAAAATGACACAAATTGAGTATCACGAGATTACACAGGGTCGTTAAATTATCCCAGTGAAAAATACAAGGTCCCATATCAAGACAGAGGCAGTGATGGCTAATTGGGATGAACTCCACAGATGCTCCCGGTAGCTGGGTAGGTGGCGCAGTCAAGGGAGGAAAGATGGTTCACTGGAATGGATTCCACGGAGTCTCCCAGCAGCTGGATGGGTGGTGCAGACAAGGGAAGAATCAGGAATGATTCCTTTGCATTTTACTTGGACAGCTAGGTAGATGGACCTTCCCCTAAGTGAGAATAAAAGGTTTTTGTGAAGAAGAGGAGGGCGAGCAATTCAGAAGTGATGAGCTTAAGGAAGTGTATGATATCCACAGTGAACATATGTGTATTTGGAGCTCTGGGGAGAAAGCTAGAATAAAGGTGCAACCTGGATGTCACCTGAATAGCTGAGCTATCCAGACAAAACAGCAGACCCAAAGAGAAAGGGCTAAAGAAAGAACCATGAGAAAAATCATGCTTAGAGTAGTAGGGAAGGGAGGTGGCTGTTCTGGGACTGAGATGGGAGGAGAACTAAAGAGACAGTGTAGACTGCCAGCAGAGTGGTCATGACATAAAAAGAAAGGAAATCAAGCATGAGTAAAACTGGCTCCCGTGGAGCAGTGACCACTCAAGTAAACAGTGGCCACTGGCAGGCTGAGGATGTGGCTCAGTATGCACAAGGCCCTGGGTTCAAGCCCCAGCACCACATAAAATGAGGGGCATACTGTGCAATCTAGCATTCAAGAGGTGAGAGTGGAAACATCAGAAGTTCACAGTCATCCTCAGCTACATAATGAGTCTCTTGGCTCATTAAGTCTCTGGGCTACATGAGTCTCTGCCTTAAAAAGAAAGAAAATATCTATCAGTGATCTTCCTAAAAACAACTCCCAAGAAGCAGTGATTGAGTAGGATTTGCAAAATCCTACTTTTGTTTCCAAAAGTTCAGTCTTAAAAGAAAAAGGCTGCTGTACGGAAAGGGTTACAGGAAGACAAGTATCAAAGAAATGCTATTGAGTGAAATCACCTGACAGTGGAGTTTCACTCCAACCCTATGGCCAGATTTCAGAAGCTGCTGTAGGGGAAACCTCAACAGGTGGGTCAGCTCTAATCACAAAACATCACCCTCTGACACGAGCCTCCATTGCGGCCAGGCATGCCACAGCACCGTCTTCTTAACGTTTAATTTTTCTTCTGTTAAATATGTAAAGTTTCTAACTAAACTGGGAGACCTTCAAATACAATGATTTACTTAATTTGAAATATATCTGTGGGTCATTCCTGCTCTCTTATGCCCTTCAGGAGAAAAGACATCAGAAAAGAATTAAAAAGCAGCCATTTGGTGGCAGTACCACCCTATTTTTACTTAAACAGCTTCTACAGTAGAATTCTGTATATATATA